ATAGTTAATGATTTTAAACATGGGTGTTATTAAAAAGCTAATTAATACCCTCTCAAGTGTTTTATATTAAGGACCAAAGAATTCATGCACAATACGCCTTACAGTAGAGATGGTTCGGAGGAAGACATTTTTTTTAGATTTCCATGCAAGATATGAAGCCAAGGACGATGCAGTGATGCAGATGAGTGTTACCTAAGTTATCTTGGTCAATATACTCTTTGGGTGTGGTTTATAATACATGATAGAGAACATTTGGGTTGTCCTATATATAAGATATTATTATAATTTTTTTGTTGTTTATCTGCCAACATTTTGCCTTATTAAATACTGAAAAGGATATTAGATGTTAAAGTATTTTACTTTTAAAATATATATATTTAATATGGGTAAATTTGAAACTAAAAATTTATTTTAAAATAAAATTAATGAGATTTAAAATTTTTCTTGATTATTATAAAATATATTAAAAATAATTTCTAAATACAATCCCATTAAGTATAATTGAAATGTTATATTAGTCATCAATATATAATTGAAAGACTCAACACATACTCAATGTACGTTCATGGAAAGGGAAGAAAACGACCAAAGATTATTGAAATGTCAAAGCTAAATTGGACTTGAAGGCCCAGTTCTGTGCCCATAATGTCCACACACATGTGACATGGGGGGCTCTTAAATCCATGTAATTGTCCTCTTCTCTTGGACCATATGACTATAATGCATTGCTCCAATGCTAGGGTACTTATTGTTCGAGACTGAAATTATGTAGCGGGTGCGAAAAGAAGGGACACACAAAAGAAACTGTTTGTCCCCGGGGCACATGGGGTTTGCTACGTAGTGTTTTACTTTTTTGAAACAAATAGGTCTTATTAATTGCCCGTAGAAATTTGAGAAAAGAATCAAAGGACACATTGTCGCAGCGTTCAAAATAATTTTTTGAAATTTTATTTCAAGAATTTAGACCCTGAGAGATTTTAAGTTTTTTAGATGTCCTTTAATCACAAGTTGCGTTATACCCCTATGTATTAGATCTGATTTTTCTTCTATGGCTTGTTACGCAATTTTATCTTGTAACGTGATCTGGCGTAAAGGAAGTTGGATTGGACTCTTCTCTCCTAGACTCCTAGGATAACTTTATAAAACCCAGGAATTTTGGATTTGCATTAATCTCTTAAAATCTTAGGTTTCACACCAAAAAAAATATTCGGGCAATTCAAATAATTTTTACCATGAGCAATTCACCAATAAAAAATGCTTTACTTGAACAAACCTTACTTAACTCTCCAATTCAGATTTTATAAGGATAAAATTAGAAAGTAAATCTCACAAACCATTTGATCAAGTATCGAGTTCCGTCTTTCCCTCTTTATATTCCCTAAAAATGAATGGCATGACTTGTTCTGTCTCTATCTTCAGAGCACTTTGTAAAATACCAATGATGAGGGAAAATGGCCGTTCCTTGCAAGCGATGAATCATTCTCGTGTCGATTTAATTCATAATGCAACATAATCTTCACTCAAGGAACAACAATGTCTTTCAACGTTTGTTCTTTCTTAGCAATTTTAAAGCATAGTCAGGCCTCGCATTCATTCTCTCCCCTCTTGTGAAGTTTAGATTGAATAGAGTAGACACTAGTTAAGGCTTATAAAAATATCTTGTACCTCGATCTTTTTCTGGAGTATAAGTACATGTATCTACTTGTTGAAAAAATTATGAAGTGCTAGGAAGGAGTGAGGTCACACCATAGAGGGTGGTTTCACATCTAACGTTCCTCGTTTTTTTTTTTTTTTGTTTTACTGATTACTCTCTTCTTTTAATTTTTCCCCTCGCTTTAACGCCTTTTGAGGAATTTGTAATTTTTTTGGCACAAGGCATTAATAATAATAATAATAATAATAATAATAATAATCCATGATTATTCAAGTAAAGTGAGCCCACTTTTTTTTTAATATAGATAAGAAAAAGGTTTAAGTGAGTTGGATCCTAAAAGCTCATCTAGGAAGGAGTGAGTCACACCATAGAGTGGTTGTTTCACATCTAACGTTCCTCTTTTTTTCTTTTTTTGTTTTACTTGATTACTCTCTTCTTTTTAATTTTTCCTCGCTTTAACGCCTTTTGAGGAATTGTAATTTTTTTGGCACAAGGCATTAATAATAATAATAATAATAATAATAATAATAATCCATGATTATTCAAGTAAAGTGAGCCCACTTTTTTTTTATATATATAAGAAAAAGGTTTAAGTGAGTTGGATCCTAAAAGCTCATCAAAGTCAATATATATCTCTAATATTAAGAGAAAATCATATACAAGGATTGTTGAAATATGTTGAAAAAATTACATCCAACTTCCTTTTAAAGAAATTAATCACAGATAAGAATTAATGCAGAATGAATTATTATTAAAAAAAATATGACTTTTTTTTTTAATACGACCTGTAATTGGTTTTTATTTATAATTAATTTTCTTAGAAGGGGGTGAATATGATCTCTCTTAAATATGTTACTTATAGATAAGGACTGATAATAAGTCATTATTTAGGAAAAAAGTAAGTCATTGTTTCCATTTTAATAACAGTTTATTCATTATCAATCATTGTTTGTGAATAACAATCTTTATTGGTTATTGTGTGCAATTTTTTTAAGGTTAAAGGGAATTTACAAAAATAATTATAAATTATTTATCAATAAAATTCTCACATTAATAATAAAATTTGATTCATGATCTTTATAAATTATGAATGAAATCCTTACAAACTGAATTAATATTTGTTGGTAAAGTAAGCCAATTTCTTAACCATTCCTTTATGATATTTTGTGGCCGTGATCTTGCTTATGCGGTCAACAATCTTGCTTACGCTTGTTGAAGGAAGGACTTCGGACTTGGTTTTTTTTTTTTTTTAAAAAAAAATACCCTTCCCTATCCATGATCTTAGTCTAGGAGATAAGCCCAATTAAATGAGTGCTGATATTTTTGCCCGTTTGAAAACTGGCCTTCGGTGACTATTTAGGCCCAAGCTCTCTAATATCGCTCTAGGCATTTTTTGGCATAAATATATTTGACTCTATTCTTCCCCAAAAATTATGTTCTATAATTGATGACATAATTAAAATTTTGATCCTATGATTTATTATGGTTAAAGCTTTTCTATCAACATCGAGGAAAAAAATTTCTGCTGTCGGCCGATTCTATTTCTTACATTCACATAAGATTTCCTATTAGAGAAAGAAAAGGGCGAACCGCATTGCAGGCATGAAAAAAAGAAAAAATTACACTACAGGCCCAATATATTCTACTATTCTATTGCAAGTCGAAGAGTCCTTATTACAAGCAAAAGTATAATTTTACCCTCATATGGTTTGAAAACTTAAATTATGTATAATATATGTTCATCAATGCACAACACAATATTCATAAATTTTAACACAATGTCAATGCGTGTATAATTGATTAGCAGATTTAATAAAATGTATAAGTAATGTAGACAATATATAACAGAATATCTACGAATGCATAACAAGATGTCCATGCATTTTCAATTAAATGTCCATGATTTGGTCAAAAAAAAAATGTCCATGTATGAATACACATGGACATTATATTGAGAATGCACGAATATTATATAGTGCATTCATAGATATTATGTTGTGCATTTGTGAATATTATATTATACATGTTTTATGTAACTTTATTTTAATTAATCTATAAATCAGCTAGACATACATGGATATTGTATTGAAAATTTTTGAATATTATATTGTGTATCCATAGATAATGTTTTGTACATGCTTTGTGTGGTGTATATTTTAACTTATAAATCAACTAAATAAATATGGATATTGTGTTGTACATCTATGAATATTATGTTGTGCAAAAAAAAAATGTCCATGTATGAATACACATGGATATTATATTGATGCATGAATATTATATAGTGCATTCATAGATATTATGTTGTGCATTTGTGGATATTATATTATACATGTTTTATGTAACTTTATTTTAATTAATCTATAAATCAGCTAGACATACATGGATATTGTATTGAAAATTTTTAAATATTATGTTGTGTATCCATAGATAATGTTTTGTACATGCTTTGTGTGGTGTATATTTTAACTTATAAATCAACTAAATAAATATGGATATTGTGTTGTACATCTATGAATATTATGTTGTGCATCTATAAATTTTATATTGTACATGATTTGAGTTTTCAAATCATACAAGAGTAAAATTATATTTTCACTTTCTAAAAAAATTATAACAAGAATCCTTAAACTTACAATGTAATATTAAAATATATTAAGCTCAAAGTAAAGATTTTTGTATTTTTAGAACCTGCAGAATCATTCTTCCTAAAATAAAAAAAAAGAGAGAGTCCGCGTGAAGCTTTTCGACATTAGCAAATGAAATTAGCTTGTCACGTGTAATATATACAGTCCATGAAATAATGGGCTGTACCCAGTAGTCATTAGCTCATTTGTGATTGCGATGTCCCCATTCTCATTTACCGTCAACATGGACTTGATTTTTTTCCTTTGCCAAGCTGTAAACGAGTCATGAACTTGCAAGTTGTTTTAAAGACACGGGACATGGGCGAGAATGGCACGTGTGTTTGGTCCTCCAAGTTGTGTTCCAGAGACCAATCATCTTTAGCCACGTCATGAGATTCTTTAAAAGCGGACCCTCGGATGTGGTCCCAACCTCCGCGCGCGGAACCTCCCACTTGTGATTGTTTTCGGAAGTATATTTAAAATTTAAATGTTAAAAATTAAGTTAAAAATTTGAAGAATTACTTATTCTTAAAAACTAAAACTAAGATTAACATAAAAGTTATAAAGAATTCATATAAAATAATTAAAATATTGTGATAATTTAATAGTTATTTTTCCCTAATTTACAAATAAATATCCGATAGAAAAGTATGCTTTCTAAAACGTTCACTACTTTTGCACGTACCAAAAAGGCTCGAACGGACGCCGTATCTAATCCAATGCAGCTTCATCTGTCTCTTGCGGAGAGTTGAATGAGAATGACATGGGCACATGAACTGCGCGCGTAAACGAACTCTCTATTATTCCTCCTCTGCTTCCTACCGTACGCTCCTCTACGCTGGTTGCGCACAGTCCTAGCGTGCGCATCCCCACCGTCCCTATCTCATCTCACCTATTGAAGCTAATACCACCTCCACATCCGTCGTCGAGCGCTGCACCGAATCCAATCACCGTCAATTCTAGATCTCGGATTATAGCCATGTCGAAGGCGCGTGTTTACGCGGACATCAATGTTCATCGCCCTAAAGAGTACTGGGATTACGAGTCGCTCACCGTTCAATGGGGGTAATTGTCCTCTCTTATCTCTGATGTTTTCTTGTATGTTGATCTTCCTACTAGTTTAATTGCGGGATTTCTCTCATGATTTTTTTTGTTACATACAATTCACAATGGGGGAAGCTTTAGGTTTTGAATCCAAAGAGCATGCACTTGGTTCATTTGCTGCTTCTTTTTAAGCATCTTAGTCCTTTCTCCTTTATTTCTAATATCAAGATAATAAACGAATTTCTCTTGCATTTTTGTTTTCTTAGTTTCTTTCGCAATCTAGTGTGAGATCGGGAACTTTTCTATTTTCAGCTTTTAATTCAGGCTGTGTCCTTTTGATTGGATCTCTCGCTCTTGTAATTGTTTTGATGAACATAACAGACAGAGAGGCTTATCATAATCTTCTCGTTATTTTGAAGTTAATGCCTGAACTGTGTCGTTTGAAATGGCTTGTTAAGTGTTGATGCACTTCTATTCTTTTGGAGCTATGTGAAATGGAATATGTGCTTTTCTAGCGCTTTCTATGATTCCTACTCTGTTTGCCAATTTTTATCCTTTTCTTCTCACGTATGAGGCTGGTCCTTTGGCTACCTGAATTTCCCTTGTTTTCTTGCTTTTTTCAATGTGATGTTATTGTCTTTTAATATTATATCCAAAAATAATATGTATGCTTTTTTCAGAGATCAAGATGATTATGAGGTTGTGCGAAAAGTAGGAAGGGGAAAATATAGTGAAGTTTTCGAGGGTATAAATGTTAATAGCAATGAGCGCTGTGTAATCAAGATACTCAAGCCTGTCAAGAAAAAGAAGGTGATTTTTTTTTCCGGTTTATTTTTCTTTCTACAGTTCCTTGTGACCTACAACCTATGAACAAAGCCATGGTGCTTCATTGGAATTATTTTCCTAAATCGTTGATGGTTGTCAGATCGTAGATTGAATCACAAGTCACAACACAAAGTCAAAATTACTTAAAATCGCCTGGAAGGAATCAGAACTAACGAGACAAAAATCTTATTTTTCCAATATTGGAAATATCAGTACAAGGCATAAGACATATTAGTAACATGGATATCATAAGCTAATAATAAAAGATTGAGTTTCAGCTACATTAGATTCTACTCAAAGATAGGAATCTCAGGGTTTCAAGCTATGAAGCATGGGTGTGGCTACATTTAACCTGTACCTGTGCTGGATGTTGGGTATCCATGCTCTCTGGTTACTTTAAAGTACATGTCGGATGCACATCTTCTATTATTTGGAAAAATTTGTTTATAAACATATCTAGTAGAGTGTTAGTGTGCCTTATATCGACTTCAAGACAAATTTAGTTCCGAATTTTGGAGATTTAAAATTAAAATTTGCTAAGTCAAGAAGAATAATGAAAAGAGAAAACTTGGGTCAAGTTGCTCCCAGAGAGAAGTAAAGAAAGTAACAGAATCTCAATTTATTCAACAGAACTCATAGTACAAGCCTCACTCCTAGTTATAGAACATAGGATTGGTAGAAACTCATACCAGGTAGTTATATTCTAACTACCTAAAACTAACAGCCAACTGATAATCTCTTATGTTGTTCTAATTACAGTTATTACCTGCACAACAAAACTAGTATAAAATGAGTTTTTGCACGCAACTCTAATATGGTATATTTCTCAAATTTACTTTTAATCTTGTTATGAGAATGGGAGAATGGCATTTAAGGCTCTCTTAAGGAAATTTATCATTTTGCATCGGATATTATTTTGTAAAAACACATATATGTTGTTGGTAAAAATTGAACCTTAACTTGCATTTTTTGTTAGGGTTTTCCTAGAAATTTAAGTAGTTAAAGTTCAGCTTTTAATAAAAACATATACATGTTTTCACAAGATAATATCTGATACAAAATTGATGGGTTTTTATTGCGATAAATTTCCTTGAGAGGGCCTTAAATGTCATTCTGCCTATAAGAATTGAGATCATATCAGGAAAATTGAATTACTATCTTTGTTGATTATATATATCATAAAACGTTAAGCAGAGAATGGAGTTACTTCATACTTGATGAAATCTGTTGCACCATCCCCACTTTCCAAAAAAGGAACAACCTGAAGCAGTAATTATTGCGTTTGAAGTCTTTTTTTAAGGAGTGAAATCTTGAAAACATATTCTAGACATCTGGTCATAGAGAGGCTAGCCGGGGTCATCCACAAATTGGTTTGTTAGAACCTATTTTTAGACTGCTGGAATCATTCAACAAGACTTAGTCTAACCAAACCACAATTCCTCCATACTATATGAAGCATTCAGGGTGTGAATTGTACACAACCATGGCTCCTAATTTCTGTATATTAAAGGAATTTCTATAGTGTTGATCTATGAAGCATATTCCTAGTTTATTGAAAAACCCACCCTTGCAAATGCATGAAACCAGAGATTCATTTTCTGTTGTATCTTCCACATAATCTCAATTCTTCTATTTACTAAGTCCTCAATATCTTTGCAGATCAAAAGAGAGATAAAAATACTTCAGAACCTTTGTGGAGGCCCAAATATTGTCAAGCTTCTTGATATTGTCAGAGATCAGCACTCAAAAACACCTAGCTTGATCTTTGAGTATGTTAACAGTACAGACTTCAAAGTTTTGTATCCGACCTTGACTGATTATGACATACGCTATTACATATATGAGCTCCTTAAGGTAATGTTATCTGTCAATCTCCTCTGGTTGACGTGTGATTGCCCCTTTTCTGTGCCCTCTCCATAATCAACATCCTGTTTTTTCATGAAAATAGTGGAAGCATATTTGTCTTAAAGATCAGGCTTCACTTATTTCTTTCTGCATATGCTTCATCTGAATAGGCTGTTGCTTATGTATCATGGAAATATTTATTTAGGACTTACCACTTATGAGGTACTGTTACTTACAAAACAAAGTCATTTATGTTTGATACATGTCTGATCCCATAATTAGATATGACATAACTTGATAATTTAAGTTACTTTTAAACACTATACATCTTGTCTTATACCATATACGTGTCAATATTGGCGTCTCTCACTTTACCACAACTATGTCCATTAAGACCCTTTTTTCCTACGTGAATGTTCTGTTTGGCATTGCAGGCATTGGATTACTGCCATTCCCAAGGCATAATGCATAGAGACGTGAAGCCTCATAATGTTATGATAGATCATGAGTTAAGAAAACTTCGCTTGATAGATTGGGGTCTTGCTGAATTTTATCATCCAGGAAAGGAATATAATGTTCGTGTAGCATCAAGGTAATGTTATTGACCAGTTTTCATTCTTAAAGCACATATATGTAACGTCGCTAAGTTAAGAATGTATTATTATGTGATGTATCTGTTGGGATTTTCCTGTATTCTGGTCACTTTGCCATTACAGTTGTCTTAATTTCTTTACACCAGGATTGTTGGTTGCATTTCTGAAGCCGTAGGTTCAGCATACTGCCCTACATTACATGAATAGCTAAAATACATATAGTACGTCAGATATATTTTCGGTACCACATTGGACCATGAAATTTCAATTCTCAAATCTTGAGAGTAACATATCCTTTTATAACATCAATGTGATAGGCACTTGTTACATGCTATAAACAATTATGGGCATTCAACATCAAACAGCAAATATCAAATGAACAACTAGCCTGACAAGACAAGAATGCATCATTGTGGTGGCACATCATGCTATTGTGATAATTTTTTTTTTTAAATCATCAAAAAGGTAGCCTCAAATTAAATATTGATTCATCTGGGATTTGGGGACAGGATCCTGTGCAATGTTATTGGATTCTCAGGTCCCCCCTCCTGGGTAGTTTTGTAGCTTATGTAAGGAGTTTCCTTACAATGTTTGCAAAGCTATTACGTTGAAGGTTTAAAGCTGCTTTTTTTCTTGGTTTAAATTTCATGATAATTATATCATTTTTTCTGTAGGTTTTAGTATACTGCCATCTCATCATCCATTTATAAGTCATGCTTGTCTCATAAACGATTAATGTACACCAGTGTTGTCAAAAGCTGCTGAGGCGTAATAGGACACCAACCAATTGCTTTTATGGCACCAAGGCAGGGGCGACTTTGATGACCGCATCAGGCTGAGGTGTGATGCACTATAAGTAAACCCAATCTTTGAGGTTTTGGCAAAATGGCACGTTGTTTTCGTCATTTAAAAACATTTTCATTGATGCAATTAAAAGGGGCATGAGGAGACGTATCTGCACCGAACACCTGAAAGAAAGCAAGCGATGAAGCTTGTATTGTTACTGTTTAAGATAGCTGCTATGGCTGAAAACAGAAGTAGGGAATCAAAGTTTCTTGGCAGAAATGCTGTTTTGACTGATGATTTGATGTGGATTACTTGCTATTTCACCTATTTTCTTCAAGTCCCTGCTCCTCTCTCTGGACATAAAGCGCAGCCAAACCCAGAACTCTAAACTTTTGTCAGTACTTACAACAAGAAGCAGTTTTCAAGTTTCTAGTCTTTCATCATGTTGTCACAGTTTCTTTTTAAGATAACATTAGTTTACTGTTGGGTCCCTCCTTCGTTTGATTTAGTTTTTCAATTTCAACTATTCAGACTTGTAGCCATTTTATGGTTTTGCTTGCCGCTTGCACCTAAAACTGATTATTACTTTGTGTTTCTAATGCCGCTTCATACTGCGGGCTGACTACTGTGATTCTACCCTGCCCCCGCCACCTCTATAATTTGGTCTGGTGCCTTAAGCCATTCTTCACTTTTGACGGCACTGAATTATATATGCCACAACATCATTCATGGTTTTTAGGCATTTTTTGAGTGACCACATTAACATAAAATCCTGATGTTGGTGCATGATGCTTAATTTTGTTTCCTGAATCACAGCTTAGATAGAAAAAAAATGATATTTAAATGTACGTACAATGCTTTTGGTTCTCAGATACTTCAAGGGGCCTGAGCTACTAGTTGATTTGCAAGACTACGACTACTCATTAGATATGTGGAGCCTTGGCTGTATGTTTGCTGGAATGGTAAGAGTTGTAGCTCCATGTCACTGGCTTCTATATGACATACACTTGTCTTAGATATTTATAGAATCCAATTCGGAATATATATATATATATATATATATTGAAAGAAGAAATTATGGGATATGATTGGTTCATTTTAATTAATGTAGATCTTTCGCAAGGAGCCATTCTTTTATGGTCACGACAACCATGATCAGCTTGTCAAAATAGCGAAGGTAACATTCTTGGTGGTTTCTTGCAATTACTGCTGCAAAACCATAGTACCATCCCTTCCATTAAATTTCGGTTCCTAGACCAAATCTAAAGCTATTTTCCTGTTGAGCAAAATGATATTCCTTTTTAGTGAGTTTTATTCCCTGGATCCTTCAACCTTCATAGAAGTACTTTTCCTTCATGGTGTAAGTTGTTTTTGGATGTAATTTGCAGGTGCTTGGGACTGATGAGCTAAATGCATATCTGAGTAAGTATCATCTGGAGCTTGATCCTCAACTCGATGCACTTGTTGGAAGGTACCAAGCATTCGTCAGTACTTAAAAAGTCATTATTTCCTGCATTTGATTTTCATCATTTTTCTAGCAACTAGCAAGTTTTGATTTAGTTCGCAAACTTTTATAGTTATGTTCTGTAGCAATGTAGTGTATCCTTTCTACTGAGAAGCCTGCTGCCTTACTCTGACTTTATTTCTTTTTGATAGATCAACGAATTGTTACATTTATTGGCGTTTTCTTCTGCAGGCATAGTCGCAAGCCTTGGTCTAAATTTATTAATGCTGATAATCAGCATCTTGTGTCTCCAGAGGTCATTATTTTGTTAAGGCATTTGGACCTCTCTTTGGACTGCATTTCACCAATTTACATATTTTTGTTATTGGTTTTAATTCCTTACATGTTTGTGTATCGGGCAGGCAATTGATTTTCTTGATAAGCTCCTTCGATATGATCATCAGGACAGGCTCACTGCAAGAGAAGCAATGGTAATCACGAAGCTAAATCGTAACACCACCCCCCCCCCAAAAAAAAAAAAAAAAAAACCTTCAATTAACTGAACAGTTTTAAACCTTATCTTTTATTTCTTTCTATTTTATTTTTTATTTCAAGTTTAACTGCGCTAACAATTTGCTTCCATATCCGTGTCTGTCCTGCAGGCGCACGCATATTTCTCGCAGGTAAGGGCAGCAGAAAGTAGCAGAATGAGAACACAGTAACTTGGTCATATTTGAATTCACAAACCCGGTTCACATGTGGATTCATAAGCTGAGTTTAGATGTATGGGATTGTAATTTGATATACATTGACATTTTGGTTTGCCTTGTGATGAAAATGCTGTCCTTATGTAATACGACAGCTGTACCCTTCATTCCAGTAATCAGATATTATCAAGGAGTGGAAGTTGATACATCCCACCTCCAAGTTACCATTGGGTACGAATTTCCCCCTATCTTAACCCTGAACATGAAAAATGTCGGAGTAGCATGCAAACGAACGATTATCCTGTGGGGTTGGGGTTCTTTATTGAGTGCCAGAGCTGTTCCTCTTGTATTAGCCGACCTGTAAATGCAAGATGACCCAAAACGGGAGATTTTCTTATAAGCATAATTTTTTTTGATGTCTTAGGTTATGCTAGATAACATTGGATAATGTGTTTAAAGAGCACAATGATAACATCTGCAAATTTTATCTATATATTTGAGTGCAACAATTTCGCTTCTCTCTCCATTTATGGCGTCGCTAAACATTAAAATGACGTGCATTGTTGAAAATTTAGAAAAATAGAAAATTCTCTGCCCAGTCCTATTTATTAGATAAAGATATAAGGACTTTAATCCCATTTACAAGACATGAGATCATTAAATTTTTGAAGTGTGTGTGTGTATAAATATATATTTAAAACTTACTAAATTTTTAGATGTTATTGAATTTTAATTTTTTTCCTATAAAATATTAAAAATGAATTATAAACACTATGGGAAGGAATATACACATTGATGCAGGAGAAAGGAAAATACCCTCCCGTCTAGAGTCTACTTATTTGGCTCAAAAGCATTCGCAGAACAAACTTGTTTCAAAATAGGATCATTCATGACCAAAAATAGACCTATATCTGTAAGTGGTCCCGTTATCATCCAGTGGGGCATTATTATTAGCTCACGGACCTCTTAAATACATTTACCATCCTTAAAACCATTCATTTCATTCTCTACCATTTTGTGCATGATCTGTGATACATTGGCGCACATAAAGTATGGAAACATGGGACTAAGATTTGCGTTTCTGATTCAGACATGGGACAAATCAGAACGCAAGTTTTCCAAGGAACACCAGTATCATTAAGAAGCATTTCGAAGTAGCTTTCACTTTATCATCAAGGGGACAAGGGCCTCCCTCGTCCCCGCACAAGGCACCTACACACAAGGCAAATTAATTAAATTTAACAGACAGAACTTGAGAAATATACATATGTAGATTGCAGAAAAGGCCACGGCAACATCAAGGGCTCTCCACAGGCTCTCCCCAAATAGTTCACTTTTTAAGATGAGGAAAACAAGCATATAGATCAGATTTTGGGTGCCTGGCCTCAGCATGCTCCCTGCACTTCACCTCTGATGTAGTGCACATAAATGTTTGCATACACACCTTGCACTGCAATCATCAATCACAATTATTAAACTCTAATCAAATGTTCTATAAGCAAAAAGATTCCAATCTAAATTTCCAGCATTCATTTGAAGAAATGTCATATACAATGAGTTTTTTTTTTTTTTTTATTTCTCACAGGCATCCGCCTATTGGTAGCAATCTTATTTGAGGCAAGATTGGGCACTAAATGTAAGAATCTCTCCTAGTAGGATTTGAATCTTAGTTCACTGCATTGCAAGGGACTAACTTCTTCTGGTAGACCCAGCTCCCGTTGGCAAATATGTATATTTCACCAGAGCTATTCCGTGTTGCTTTTTTCCTCTGCCACTAGTGTTATTTCCCTCACATTTCCTTTTACATACTCATAAGAGTACAAAGACATACATTCGTTCTTCATGCCTTGTTTGAAGGGTTAAAATTATAGGTACCACTATATTACTCCCTCAAGTCAAGGCTCAAAGGGAAGGAGCTGGGAAAATGAATTGTTTGGGAAAATCATTTAAGATAGGATGAGGTAATTGGTATGCCCCCAAAAAAAAAAAAACTCAATAAACACTTCATGCATTTTAGGCATGTATACGGCATAGAAAATTTTACAATGCATATTGAATTGAAGCATTAGGCTATTTCAATCATGTTAGACAAGCACGATAAACAGAAAATAGGGTTTCACTTTTCCATACCAGCCATGACAATATTAATTACCTGAGTTCATTATTGTTCAGAGTACAAGAATCTATATATGTAATTCAGTTTACAAGGAGAAAAATGAAAGCAAATAACACAGTTCTGAGATTCATATGTTTTATAAACACCAAATTACCTGAATCGTCATTGCTTTCTTATTTGATTCCAGCTGGCTTCCTACGCGAGACAATCAAATTATTAAAAGTAAGAAGTAAAACCGTGAGAAGATCTTTTTCATGTAGTCTCATTCCAATTTCAATTTCATAATACATAGATACGAGATTTCGCATACTTTCTGCCAGAAGGGGATGAAATAAACAATCTTCATAGTTCGCTTATTAAATTAAAAATTTGATCTGGCTTTTAATCTTGTAGCAGAAATTCTCAGGAAACCAACAGAACATGATTGAAAATTATCGACTTCGAGAGAGATAGAAAGGGAGATGAACGACTACCTTTTGCAGCCTTCATCTTCTCCATGTTCTTCTCACGAGCCATCTTTGACTTTTGCCCGTTGCCTCCTCCCATTTCGTGAAGCACAGGATCAGACCCTGAAAACCCTAATCAACGATATGAAAGGGTATTCAATCCGGAAGGAGACGCAGGAGGAAGCAAGTTAGGGATATACGGCTGCGACCCTATTGTTTCGGACTTGGATTCTTTCTATTTTCTCCCCCCTCTCTATTTTTCTCTACTTCTCATCTCAATTATTAAATTTATTTTTCAACAATTAAAATTTAATGTTTTCATAAAATTATTAATATATAACTTTATAAAAAATAAATATAATAATAATTTTATAAAATATCAAATTTTAACCGTTTAAAAATAAATTTATAAAAAAAAAATAAAAAAAAAATAGAGAGAAGCTAGTCCATTAATTCTTCAGGTTTTCCTCCCCTTGGCAGGAAATAAATTTTAGTATTTTAAATAAAAAATGATTTTATTATAAAATTTTTAGTTTGAAAAACATACTTTTAGTAAAGATTGAAACTTTTAAGAACATTTGTTGCTGCCTAAGTTAGATCTCCCAATTTGCAATTTCCCTAATTTGTATCAATTCTGATTAAGGAAATTGATTTATAATGATTTGATTAATTTGAATTGTTTTTGTGTTATTTTCTCCTTAAATTATAGAATGTAATATTTATTTGTTTTATTTTGATTATATATATTTTGGATATTGTTTAGATTATATATTTGAAATGAGTTTTTTTTAATCAAATCACTCCCAATTCAAAAGTTAAGTCCATAGTGAAAAAATAATAGTAAATATAAGACCCATAAAAATAATTTGTGTGAAATTTTTATCATTTAGTACTTATATTTTTTTATATGTATGAGATAATAATGTGAAAAATGTTTGTTCTATAATGGGACGAATTTTTGAGAGCAACAAGTAATAAATTTAATCATATTTATTGGAGATAAATTTTATTCTTTAATTAATCATGCAAGGTAGAATTTAATAGTAAATTTATTTTTTAATTTGATTTCAAAATTTTTCTCATGCAAAAGTATGGGAGATCATAGTATAGTCATATGCAAGACAACATATTTTAAATAAAATAAGTTATTATTTATATTTTTAATTTATATACACAAAATTAAATTTAAAATAAATAAATTTTTATTTAAATTTAATTGAAAAAATAACAAATTATAATAGACTACAATAAATTTTTTTTAATTTTCTTGTTTCTATTTATTTTTATATTTTAAAAATTAAAATATTCGTGCATGAAAAATAAATCTAATTTTCACATAAAATGTTATAAAAAGAATTGAATTAAAAAATTTATAAATTTAAACTAATTAAAAATACGTATCAATATTAGCCCAAAAATAGAAGAAGAAAAAGTGTATCTATAGATCAGTTATTTCAAAAGAGTGAAAGAAATCACTGAGTATTTAAAGAACTATTCTATTTTACACTTTTATATTTTTTATAGGAAAAATATATTTTTTAATTTTTGTACTGTATATTGTTTTTCAATGTTTTAAATCTTTATATTATTCTATATTTCTGAATGAACAAAAAGAATAAAATGTAAGAATTTTAAATGAATATAAAATATAAAAATAAAAGTATGGGAATCCAAATATAAAAAAAAAAAAGAAGAGCATATAACAAAACACAAATAAAGTAGATAAATCAAAATGTATGTTTTTTCTTTTTATACACTATTTTACTTTTTTATAATTTTTTAATCGTGTTACATACTTTCATTTTTGTATTTTCTTATAATATCTTTATAAATTTAATTTATTGTAGTTAAACATGAACTCAAGTGTACGTGCCACGTGTGAAATTGCTTGTTTATGTTTTTTTTTGGCTAAAATGTTAAAATTATTTTGAATTTTAAAACAGTTATATATAACTTTTTTTAACTTTTAAAAATTTAAAATTAAACTCTTAACTTTTAATTTTATTCAAAACTCTATGTTATTAATTATGTTATTTTTTCGAGAGTTAAAATGTCATTTAATCAAAAAAATTATTAAATAAAAATATTATATTATATAATTATTTATAATAAATTTTTTATATTTTTTAAATAGTTGAGATATTGATAACAAAAAAAATATTATTATTATTATATAAAATTTTAAATACTTTAATTATATGTATTATATTAATATAACATAAAAAATAAATAAAAATTTATCTTTTAAAATAATAAAATCATGCACCATTAATAATATAAAAAAACATGAATAAAACTAACTAATATAAACATTAACAGTTAAAATTTTATATAATAATAATAATAATATTTTTTTATTATCATTATTTCAACTGTTTAAAAAATATAAAAAATTTATTATAAATAATTATATAATATAATATTTTTATTTAATAATATTTTTTAATTGAATGAAATTTTAATTTTCATAAAAATAATATAATTAATAATAAAAAATTTTAAAAAATAAAATTAAAAATTAAAGGGTTAATTTTAAATTTTTAAAAATTGAATTATATATAATTGTTTTAAAGTTAAGAGGATTTTAAAGTTTTTTTTTTTTTTGGCCTGGATAATATAAATCGAAATTATCTTAAAATAGCTTTCACGTTAGCCGAAGCAACGACACCGTTCATTCTTCGTTTTTAGCTCCACCGGCATTGAAGCCCCGCTGTATTTGCAGGGTTAAACTTAACAGCAAACCGGTCCATCCCTCGCCGATCGTACAATCCCCCATCTCAGTCGATCTCGGAGTCTCAGACCCTGAGTTCCTCTCTCTTCCTTCTGTATCTCTGCGTCATCTCATCTATTTATATATTGATCTAGGGTTTATATTAGATCCGAACAGGACGTAAATTCTTCCATAATGTCTGTCTTAATTCAAATATAAGTATCCGATGGCGATAACCATTGAGAGCTCGATTTGGGAACCAAGTCCATTCATATACCTTTTCCTCTTCCTCTCTTGCTGCTTCTCGATCTTTCTTTTCCCTCATTTCTCCATTTCAAGCAGAACATCTTCAGTCTTCGACCATGGAATCGCTTCCTCGTTTCTTCGTTTTCAACGGAAGTTCCTCCTTCTCTATTCTCTATCTTCAGGTGCTCCATTTCTTTATTTTACTATAGCACTGTTTGATGTCATGAAGATGTGCGAGTAGAAAAGAGGAAATCAACTTGTGAACTTGATTTTTTTGTTTTCTTAAGTTGATGGTGTCAGAATTAAACCACAAAAGAAATTATTCTTCTCTTCAATTTGATCTTCGGTCTTTGCAACCAATTTTCAAAGCTCCTTTAATTGTTAAATGTATTTCCCAGTCAGTTTAGCTATAGATCGGTTACGTGAGTGCTAATTTCATTTTCCTTACTTTCATCTTGTCAGTGATGGAAGGCTTGTGGTTCGCGTTTGGCGAGTTCGAGTTAGCTTCTTATGGAGTTGGCAGGGAGCAGATGATTATATCTCTGTGTTTTAGATATGCAGCGTCTCTCTTTGCTAGTCCTTTTCTTGGCGTGATTTCAGACTTGGTGTAAGCCTATACTTTTGCCTGCTGTTATTGCTACGGTGTTTATAAATTATTTCTAATTTCTAATTTCTAATTTCTTAGTGTCCAGCTTTTACGGAGAATTGTCAATTTAGGTAAATCTGATGTTAAAGTGACAAGTATTATTGGACTTTGTTGCGTTAATTATTATATACATTTATGATGAGTTTTTTGAAATAATGGTAAGGATAATCATAATGCGTACCATTCATAGTGAAAAATCCATAACGTTCGATATGGAAGGACACTGATACTTTGAACGATTGTTGATGAAGTATTGTCTGTTGTTTCAAGTCAACATTCATTGCAATGATATCAGGAAGAGAGCGCCCCCCGTGTTTATCTTTGACGACTGACAAGCATTCTTTTCTTGGTCTTAAAACTGCCCAATACAAACCTTTTATGGCCAACAATTTAACGGTATATATTTAGTAGTGCCTAGTTCCATGGATTTTTTTTTTCTTTTTCTTTTTAATATTTCTATTAGCTGAGTCATGATATCCTTCTGTGTCATTTGAACCGTGAAGCATGGTTTTGCTATGTTAGACTTGAAAAGTAACAGCTTGGAAATTCTGAAGTGCTTATCCAAAACTCTGCTCCATCGATATATATACATATATATACATATACATATACATTTATTATAATTATAATTATTGTGATTATAATTTTGAGGTGATGTTTCTTGACATGCTGCAATTAACTTATTTTCTTTGTGTAGAGGTCACAGGAAAGTATGCCTATTTTTTGGCATCCTACACTTTTTTGTTGCCATATGTAAGAGGGTCTCTGAGTATCCAAGCTTTTTTGTCACTGGAATTTGTCTCTCTCTTGCCAACACGATATTTTCATTCAGTTTTGAGAGTTGGATGGTCACTTTGCATGAAAAGGTATTGAGTAAATTTTCTCCTATACTCTTGATTCCATGTAAATGTATATTTCAGCCCAGACATCTATAACACTTGCACTATATTGGGACTTGTTCCCTTCAGTTTTAGTAATATGGGCACAGTCCCTTTTTTCTTTTTATTGTGTTAGTGTATTTGTCATTTTGTCTAGTGAAATTTGTCATTTCCTACCACAGAATATAGGATAACTGAGTTTGAATATCTACAATCTAATGTCAATTTGTTTTTGTTTGTTTTTTTGGCAAGCAGCAAGGGCACAGGCAAGATTCTCTTAATGACACATTTTGGTTAATGGTTTTCTTTGAGTCTGCTTGTTTTATTGCCAGCCAAATGTTTGGAAATTGGCTAATTGGTGGTAATTTCGAGAAAAAAACTGCTCCTTCCACTGCAGCCATCTTCCTTGCAACAGCATGTATCACTTTTCTTTCCCGAGGATGGGCAGAAAATCAACAAGCAATATCTTTTAAGGACTATAGTATGTCCTTCTATGCATATATATTAAGTGGTAAGATCCACATTTTTTCTAACTTCCTGTTTACTCCTACATGTCTATCAATAACTCATTAAATTGTTGTCCTATTTTTGCGCATCAGTTCAAGTAATTTTGTACGGATTGACTTGATATAGAAAATTCTTACATACAAATATTTAAACGAGTTAGGAGGTTCTACTGGAAAACTACCTGCATGTATTGTTCAATGATTTAATTATAAGCTTACTAAGAATAACATATAGGTGAAAATTCTATTATCTCCAGATAAAAGGATATGGCTTTTGGGATGGGCACAAGCTTGCCTTCACTTCTCCATTGGAATTTTTTGGATCCTCTGGGCGCCTACAGTAGTGGTATGATATTTACATTGCAGTGGAGATGTTTTATATACTTGTTCTAAACTCTTGATCTGCATTGTGTTGTTATATTTTTGTTTTTATTCTCTTCTCTAGGCTTCTATTTATTGATCAACTTGGAAATAAGAGTCAGTGAACAAATTTAATGTATTTTTTTCTGTGGCCATTATTGTGGCAAAGACATCTACCTTTTTCCATGATATAATCATATTAAAAAGGAGGCTTCATGCTATGCAACCTTTTACATTTGTTGTTCGAAGTTCAGGATATATTATTTGGTGCTTTGTATATTCAGGCTGATGGGCGAGAAGTGCATCTAGGATTGATTTATCCATGCTTTCTGGGCTCAAGAATGCTAGGAAGCACTATATTTCCTTGGCTGACAAGTGGACCTTTACCTATTAGGACTGAGGACTGCCTAGTATATGCATACATCATACTAGGTCTTGTCCTGTCTATTATAGCTTACGATTATCAGGTGCAGTTACTTCATATTTTTATAAGCATACAATGCACTTGTCAGGTTGTAGAGCTGGAAGTCTAGAGTCAGGTCTGAATTTTTTTTTTATATGCAGGAAATTGGAGTTCTAGTGACGCTTTTTATCCTGTTTCATGCTTGTGTCGGGCTCATATTACCATCACTCGCCAGATTGAGGACCATGTAAACTCATTAAACTTTGGGTGTCTCTTATTCATTGGATTGTGTTATTTTTAATAGTTGTGTTACTTTAATTGCAGGTATGTGCCTAATGAGTTGCGTGGAGGGATGATGGGCCTTTCTCTTGCCCCTGCTAATGCAGCAATGCTGCTTTCATTGGTGCAAGTGAGTGTTTGTACATAATAGCACATGGAATTGTAGGAAACATATAGTTAGCCTATTAAGTATCAACGCCTGTTGACAAGAAACACAGTGAATTCCTCAGGCTGGGTTTGGATAGGAGAGAACACTAGGAGGGAAAACTTCCAAAAATAGTAAAATTAAATTTTTGGGAGTTTTCTCTCCTAGTATTCTTCTTTACTCTCTAATTTTCTTTCCATCCAAACCAGGGTAAAATTCTCCATGCCTTACAATCAAGTAACAGAAACAAGTCCTGTTTTAAATTCTAGCCAACCTTTCATGACACTTATGACTTATCCATACCATGATATGCCCTGCTTTGAAAAATCCTGCCCATGGACAGTTGAGTTGGGCCCAGATTTCTGAGCTTGAATGGTGCCCCACTATTCCTGCGAGTTGATTACTGATATTTATTCTAGTAGCATTGTATGCTCTATACACCGCAATAATGATTATAGAAATTTAATTTTCAGATATAATGTACTTTATCTTCACTTCATTTTCCTAAGCACCCCACCTGAAATTGTGAAAATATTTTTAAGTTTATATAATTGTTTGCTGATTTAATATCATAATATAGTTACTTCCTTGTAACTCTGGCAGGGTGGCTACAATCGAAATGCTGGGAATGCGTCATTGATGGCATTTGGTGTGTTGGGACTATTGACTGCAGCTGCTTCCATGCATGCCTTGAAGCAATGTGGGAAGCAACCATATAATAACTGGCGTAAACAGTGAATACATACTGCTGCTTTGGAAGACTTAGGAAAACTTGATGAAAGTGAATAACGGTTAAAGTCTTAAAGATGTTGGCCTTGGCTGATGCCAAAGCATGCACAAGGCGAAATAAATTTCAGAAAGCGGATATCATGCCCAATGAGTACCGAGTGCAGAAGGAACTGACTTTGTAGTAGTGTCTGTAAGGACCAAAAGAGAGGCTGAACAAGAAAATATCTCAGTTTAATTCTCTCTTTGAACTCCTAGTCCATGAGATGAAGTTCGCTTTTTTGAATGCATCAGCTTTACCGAAGTCATGCGGGCCTAACAGGTGTGTGTTTGTACTGTTATGCTGTAGCCTGCATCCTTTTGGAGTAAATACATTTGGTTTTGCTTCTGGAGATCTGGCCAGCCACACAAGTGTCTGGAGCGGATGACATGCAGATATGCAAGTGCTTTTGGGAGTGCACTGCACCTAGAGTTCAGGAGGTGGAAACTAATATCCAAGTTCAAGCATGTTATTCATTAGATGAAGATACCATTTAGGTATTACCATTGTAATTTCAGTTGTGCTCTTTCCCTTTAGTATTATGATAAATAGCCTTCTATCTTCTAAATATAATTAAATTTACTGTTACAATCTTAGTGAGTAGGCACCAGGTTTAATTTTTCTGTTACCATCTACATAGAAAAACAAAGGCAGTAATAATTTGAAGATCTCACATGAATTAATTTCATTTTTTATGGACAAATTAAGTTAAACATTTACGGACATTTGTTTGAAGCCATTTAGTCTGAGTTTCGAATTGGGTGATGATTGCATTTGGAATATTTGATTGAATGCTCAAGTTACAAGTTTATGATTTTTTTTTTTGTAAAGAAGAAAAATAAAGATATAACTTACAGAACCTGCTTGATATGATATCGTACAATGTTAGCATCCGATATTTTCATTTTATACTGTATTCTTAACTTGCCAGACTAGAAACTGAGACAATGACAGAGACTCAAAATTCATCATTGCAGGCACCGCGATTTAATCATCCTGTTCTTGATCTCTTATCCACTTTGTAGCCACCCATTTCTCCCCTTTTATCACTGGGCAGCTTCCATGGAGTGATGTCTGCCAAAGTATTCATGAGAAATCGTAAAGAACGCAAGAAAAGCGACATTGTTAGGTAATTATGTGACTTGTATGCAGTGCTCATAAAAAAGTCTCTGCGCGAGTAAGAGTGTGTATCTTTCTCTATTTTCAAATTTATACTAGGATTTTTCTTATTAACCAAATAAACGCATACAAAATTTCTAATCTTTTCTGTTTATGTTGTCCAAAAATATATGGTACAGATTTTGCTGCCCCGAAGTAAAAGACATAATTTATATATATAACATAAGAAACATCTATAATCTATATATATGACAAAATTTATAATAGGATGCACCTAACATCATTTGCAGTTCACTCTTAAGACTTTCTGCAAAGTATAGAACTATAATTTAGAATTTATTTATATATGAATAATCTAGGTTCTAAGTTGAAGTAGTGTTTGGAAGCATTCTATTAATAGAATATGAAGGAGTCGAATGGCTAAAAAATCTAACTGTTCTTTATGCATAACAAATATATTAAATATTTTCAAAAATATTTAAATAATTTTAAAATGCCAATTATCCATGCATTTTTTATTTGATAACAAAAGCATATGTACACGATTTAAAACGTTGTTAATAAATTTAATGTAATGAAGATAACATCACTAATACTTTTTTTTTGGGGGATAAAATATAGTTTTGGTTTTCTAACTTTATGAGGCATCAATTTGATCTTTTAATTTTATAAGATATTTTTCAGTCTTTCAACCCTTATATTGTTAGCTCCAAATGATTAATTTTTGTCTTAATTGTTATTTTTTTTAAAAAAATTAAACTTACTATGTCAATTTTTGAGAATGTTTTCTTAATATTTAAAAATTAGATGTATGGATTTTTTTATTGATGAAGCTAACAGCTCCAGGGTTAAAAAAAAAGATACTTTATAAAATTTAGTGATTAAAATAAAACAATTTAAAAAAAATAAATCATATTTACCAAAAATGTTAAAATAAAATTAAATGTATGGACATTTTTTTTTGGGGTAAAATTTTAAAGTTAAAGTACAAACTTTAGCCTACTTTCTTTTTAATCAAGTCGTCATGTAGGAAAAATAATTAAAACAAAGAATGTTTTTTTCACAATCTTCCATCTAAATTAGCTAAAAAAGTCTAAAATTGGAAAAATGTGGTCATAGTTCATTCGATTCTTTTAATTTTATAATAACTAAACAAAAGTCAAATAAAACCCTATCCCTATCTTCTCCCCCTTTTTTTTTTTTGACCAGCCCTATCTTCTCCCATTCAAACTCCAAAAGGATGGAATATTCATCCCACCCCATCCCATCCCATTAATAATCATTTCACTTTATTCCAAACTCCCAAGCATACCCCCACTTGTTGAAAAAGCACGGTTATTAATCAGCAGTCTCTGCTTGTGTGAAGGGGAGAAGGGGGGGGGGGGGGAGATATGCTTATGATATAAAATTTATAGAAAAGTTTATATGTACAATACTTATAAGCCATCAAACTTTTTTTAATGAAAAATGAATATATTATTAACCCACAAGATAAATACAAGACAAGGCAACTACAGGCTGGCAACAAAGTCAGCAAACGCAAAGAACAAAAATCGTTAAACAATAATTATTATTTAACTCTGCAAAATTTTCTCAATCCAATGTTCATGCTTTTAAGATTTCTCATTTAGGAGATTTTGAAAGAACTTTTGAAAATTACTATTTCATTGTTTTATAAAAAAGTTATACATAAAGTGGCATTAAAATGCATATTTGTTAGTAAGTAATAAAATATTGCCCCATTTTCATTTTTTTTAATTTACTTTCCCATCACAATAGAATATCTAAATCCCTTCCCTTTCAGGTTTTTTTCGATTTTATTTCTTTTGCTGGTTCTTGAGCTTCTTACTTATAATAATATAATAATAGTATTGAATTTAATAAGCAATCAATTTAGGATAAGTATCTACTACTTGGTCCTATTTATAAAGTATTTTCAACATATTTTATCATAATTAAGAAAAATTTTAAAATTTATTAACTCTATTTAAAAATTTAATAATTTCTCAACTTTGTCGCTATTAAATATATATATATATATATATTTTAACAATGTATTTTCTTTCTCCAACATTCAATGGAGGTCAAATGAAAAAATTCACAATGAAAATTTAATTAGGTGACTTATAAATAAGATAAATTTTTTTTCATTCTTTGCCCTATAAATAGAACCAGAGGAGAAGTAGTACTTACTGTAAAATAGTAAATAATTAACAATTAAGTTTAATAAAGTTAAACTTAAGATGTGATGTAAATTCTCCCCCCCCCAAAAAAAAAAAAAAAGATGTGATGTGAAAATGGATAAAGGACTCACCAAGTTAGAAATTTTCCCAAAAAAAAAAAAAAAAGATGTGATGTGAAAATGGATAAAGGACTCACCAAGTTAGAAATGGTAACCAGTAACCACGATTATGAGAAAAAGAATACTAACCGGGTCGATTGTACCATTATGTAACAATGAATAAAATAGAAGTCCGTCCCCTTGTCGCGGTCTTACTTTGAAACCAATGCAGTCTTCATAACCGTAGCTTCCGTCCATGTTCAAGCCATTCTGCAGAGTGCATGATGCGCTAAGTATCTGACTATTCATTCAAGCCGAAACGGGAAGTATGTAAATTGACATCCGAGGCCCAGCCAGCCAGTTTTACCTCAAATGGAAACATGGTCTCCCCACCATCCTCAACGTCACTTAAATACAGCAAGAACGAAGCCATCTGGATGGTTAACCACTTGAAGAAATGAATTAATGTAGACATCCGAAATTTATACATATATAGCCTTTACATATAAAGATTGATTAACTCTAAAATCCCAATAGGAGAAATAACTTTGTATATTTGTAGGAAGGGATCTTATTAGAATCTCAAAGAAAAACTTCACAGTAACAAAATGGTCTTGATGCTAAAAGAAAGAGACAACGCGCCAAATGACCTTAAATAAATGTTAGATAAACTGAAGATTACAAGCCCCGTCCTGTTTGGTTTGGTTTTTAAACGTGACCACGTCAAAACTAAAGCAAGCTTATGATATCAATAAAACAACTTTCAAATGAGAATTATAAGTTCTACTTCAGACATACCCGTTGGCTCTTTTGAGGGCCATATTCAGCAGGATTGAATGCATCATAATGAGACATATATCTCTGCCCAACCTCATAACGCAGAATGTTGAATGCCTGAAGCAATATGGTAATTTCCTCAGACAATTTTAAGACCTCCGGGTAAATAGAGGGTTTGCAAAAGTTTCATTGCAGATAGAATGAAGATCAGGAAGGAAAGCCAATAAATGCAAAGGTATAACCGTACAAACACAAATGGACAACACCCCCAACCCCAACTCTCTTCCCTCCCTCCCTCTCCCCACTACTTTGATCACCTCCCTATGCTTCTGAGTTCTGACTTGATATGGGAAGAAAAGGAGCTAGCAGATTGAGACATCAGGAGGATTTGACATATTATAAGGCGGCTTGGATGACATGCGGAACACTTATCTCTATAACTTCCACGAAAGCACTATCTATTGAAAACTTAAAATTATAATTATCCAATTTTACTTAACTCATTCTGACCACCAAAAGACTATCGTTTATTATGGGGGCCATAAAAAGGACTCCCTTATAAGTCTCAACTCTGCTATATGTCCCTCATTAATCCAACATTTAAGTCCTCGACAAAAGCATGCTGCTGTATTTTCTAACATGGGTGCGGCAAAGCAAACATATAGCCAGGAAGGAACTGTTCAGCACAACTGAAACATTATTCTAGTAAATTTAGGGATGAAAGGGGGTCAAGGTTCTAAACTGCACCTCGGGTAATATTTTCTGCGACACAGGTCAAGAAAGGGAACAAGAAATATTCATGCCAAAATATTGGAACGAAAGCAAAAGGGAAGACATCCTGATTTGAAATTTGAAAAATGAAAAATATAGGGAGAAGGAACGTAGACAAGCTCTTCTATCAGCGATCTTGCCAAAAGAATCTTCTCTCTTTCTCCAATCTCAAGAGCATTTACATTGCTAAAGAACGTGAAACCAGTTCGAAAAGGGAAACTTATATAATGTTTCGTAGGAACAGAAGTGTTTTCTTGAAAGGAAATAATAAACCTATCTCATTTTCTTTTTAGGTATATTTCTCATTTTCTTTCTAGAAACTACTTTTCCACATTCCAGATATTGCCTTACATATTACAATATTGATAACAGGTACGGCCAAGAAGGGGGGAAAAACAGATTGCAGGTACGAAGTGAAACAAACCATTCACAAAAATAAAGCAAGTGGATATGCATGTCAATTTGGAATGACAGCGTTTTTCAAATTCTCAAAAGAGTGTTTAGTGGGGACATTACCTCTCCATTAACCCTGGGAATCATTGTTGCTCTTGCAATTTTTTCCTCAATGACATCTAATATTCCTGTTTTGTCCTCAAATGCGCTAATAAACATGCCTGAACTGTTTAAAAAAAGTTATAAGCTTGTTATATGAATTTGTTCAATTAAATGACACGATGTACATCTAGAGTTAGAGGAGAAGATCCTCTCATTACCCAAGCCACCCATTCTGACCAAATCATAGGTCAATTATAAGGTTGCACTTGCACGGCGCAACCAATAAAATGTCAACACACAACTAGAACTCAGTAAATGGAACTCTCTGATACCAAAGTAGTAACTTGAGAGGAAATCTTGCTTCTTTTCTTCAAGTGAGCAAATAGATCATGTTGAAAATCAGGAATTAAAACACATTGTATTTCTAAAGCCTGTCATCCAAGAACTGCCTGCACCTCGATTTCTGAGATGCAGAAATCTCAACTACATTTACCATAATCCCAATCAGAGTTCATAAGCTGTGGAGAAGCTAATATAAAGCATTTTACAACTTGGTTCATAATACAATGTGTTTTAAAAGTTTGGCATCCCAGTTATTGCCATGATATTCTTTCTTGTGGTATTGACTCAAACAAGGCTTATTGAATACTGTGTTCTTCGAAATTTGTTGTAAAGCAAAACAGTAAAGCATTCTATAGACACATGCACGCTACCTTGTTCTAACCCCTTTTGTATTCTCCTCTGTTTCTCCCTCTCGTAATGCCAAAATTGATGGTTCGAGGCCTGCCCTTGCCATATCAATTATGCTTTCACATTGCTCTGAATTTGCAAAATTTGGAAAATACAGAGCACGAGGTTTCCAGCTCAAAATCTAAGGAACACAAGCACATAGATGCAGCAATTTTAGAGTTAATGCACGAGAACTACTCTATGATGAAGGCTACGATTTTGTAGCTATTAACTAAAATTAATTGAAGAAGAAATCAATTCCTCACCAGAATAGCACGCCTAAGGTCCAACACTTGGGAAAATAAACTAGTTCTACAACTTCAAATCTCAGCCTTTTCACACTAACGTCAATGAAATCAAATATTAACGTAAACTTGCACGTTTTGAAGGCTCCACAACATATTTTATATTCGGCTAAATTGTTTGTTCCATTAGCTTATAGAGGAAATCAATAATATAATGCGGCACAAATCTAGATTCGTTTTGATTCTAACTTAGGTAGCATCAAGGCATTGCGCAGCGAAAAATCAAAACTCTTGATAAATAAAATCTCCCACCTGAAAAGGAACGGACGTTATTGAATCGTCACCGGACTCTCCAGCAGGTAACAAATTGTACCGCGTCGCATCGTTCGCCCATTCAAGGAACCTCGGTCTTGGCCTGTGGCCAAATACGTCATCCTGCGAATCCACTGCGATCGCTTATCCAGATAATTTCCGATCAAATAATCTAAGAAATTTATCACATAAATCTAGAGGATCATGAACAGCATTTGAAAAAAGACCTGAGATTTGGAGAAGAGACTTGAGCCGAAGAATCCGAAAAGAAAGAAAAAGATGCAAATGAAAAAGACAGAGGTTGAGCCAAACTTCTTTGTTTTCAAGCTCCAATTTCCTCTAACGGTTTTGGATTTCATTTGGATTAGTTGTTATCTGAAACTGAAAAAATTCAGGTGTGCTCCTCGCAGAGTGATATTGGCTTTTTTGCGATGAAATTGCAAGTGGTTGACGTCGCCGGCGTGCGCCAGATCAGTTGCAATATTCGATATGCTTTATTCATTTGATTCGGAAATTAATGCATTGCTGAGTACACACACCCACGACAGATTCGCTGATTCTGAGCTTGAATATTGCTTTATATAGCGAAGGGGTTGCCGTGTGGCGGATGGTGGTTGGGTTACAATTCCCGCTGTTTGTCTTTTCACATTCCAAAAGGACTCCCCCTTTTGCAATGTATAAAACTGTTTGGGTACAATTTAAAAACAACAAACGGGGTATCCAAATGGAGGTAGAAAAAAATTTAAACCATTTAAATTTAATTTAAATTAAATATTTTTAATTTTTATTTTAAATTTACATGTAAAAATTATAAAAAAATTTAATAAATATACTTATTAATTTGATAGTTTAAATTTAATATGAATGATCTAAATTTAATATTAAAAGTTTTTAATAAGATTACTGCTCTAGTCAAAATATATCTACACTATTTAAAGTATACTTAAAAAGTCAATTTAAATTTTTAATATTAAATTTAAATCATTTATATTAAATCTGAATCATCAGACTGATAAGTATATTTATTAAAAATTTTTATATAGTTTTTATGATTAAAATATAAATTTAAAATAAAAAATAAAAATATTTAATCTGAACTGTTCAAATTTTTCTTTGCTTCAGCAAAAGGCAGAAGAGGCTTCCCTCCATTGAGGGAAGCCAACTCCTATACAAATATACTTTCCAACAAGCTTGAAATGTGAATTTTTCTCCTAGATCCAAGAATAGCTGTAATGTCCACCTTGACATTATCGGGACAACACTCACACACCATTATGATAACTAAGATAATAAAATCCTATCAAGAAGTTATCACAACTCGATGGTTTAAAAGATAATAAATTAAAATAATGGGATCCTAAGAAAACCCTTTTTCAAATATTGTTTGAGCTCCAACCATAGTAAAAAATCAATTTGGAACAAACACGAAAACATAGAAAACAATCTACATCAAAATTAGGTTAAAATGCCATTCTTCTACAAATTTTGGTTTGTCCACCACAGCAGATGACATAGAGGGACAAGTCCCTCGAAGGCTTCTTGCACCGCAGCACGCACCCACTGTCATAACAACAGATTGCTATCATGACAGCCCTTCAAAATTTTGAAGCCCGCCGTTTCGCCATTAGATGTCTGATTTGAGTAATTTAAGTGTCCACACGAAGCTTTTTGAGCCCTCTATGTAATGGCACCAGTTTCACACTCAAATAATCATTCGTTTAAAAGATGGATACTCGAACCCAAAATGGTTTGTTTCCATCTCAAAATACACACAAAGGAGTCAAACTTACAATACCAAATGCCATTAGCCTAAGAGATACTTTGACCACCTCAAATGGACCACACACAACATGACAATTCAATCATAACACACAATTAAGTATTCACATTCAAAATGATCATTAAAACCCCAATTCATAACAACATAAAGGAGTAGATAAATTTTAACACACATGTCACTTGGTCATTTTGGCACGTAGATCTTTTCAAATTCTTCACTTGTAAGGGTAACTTGATCAAGCACACACATTTAGTCCACAATATCAATTTTGGACCAAGATACGCACACTTATCACAAATTCATACAAGTGATATTCAAAATAATGTCATGTTCCTAAGTTGGTAATATATAATAGCAATATTCGTTACAACCTAAAAGAGAAAGGGGAAAAGCTATACTACAATGCTCTTCACTCTTCAATTGCCCCTTCCTTCTCCTTGTCCCTACCGGAGCCTTCACTTATAAAATATAACCACAGGGTAAGAAATATCCCAATAATAGAATAATTCACTACTATTAATTAACATGCACCACCATAAGAGAGTAAAACTATGAAACTTTAAAATATACATTTAACATATCACCACATGTTCTTTTCATCAGTACAAATCTTTTACTACTAGCATGATCATTTTACTATTCGAACCTCTATATTACCTCGACCAAAACCATAGGCTCTTAGACCAAGTGCACATTCATAATGATCTGAGCTCACTATGTAAGATTACCCGGCCAAAGGTGTCCTATCTCACTTTCAGACTACGATTTTCCCTTATTGCACATGAATCAAGGTATTGTTACTCCAACATTGTATCATTGATATTAAGGAGTGTTACTCTCTAACACCGTATCCCATATGGATATTAAAGAGAAAATCTCCACTACCATACCTCACTAGACACTAAGGGATATATACCATATGGACTTCTACTACTCCTTCCTACGGGTGAACTCTCACCCCATAACATAATCATGCCCACACTCAACATATATATATATATATATATATCACATATACATTTTAAATTTTTCAACTCATTCACATATAATTTTCATCATACTCATCATTTGCAAATATATTTTTTATGTACAAAACTATAATTCACAATATGCAAGGTTATCAAATCTCAAGTTCAAATCAACATGTCTACTCATAAACAATTAAGTAATATAATTAATCAGTGTAAATTATTTCATTACCTTAACCCTTTGTTACACAAAAATGTTACCGTGGTTCAATGTTAGCTCCACACATTCTATACATATGATATAACTTCAGCAATGCTCAATCTACACAATCAAGTAACAATCATTAATTATCACTCCGGATAACTTTGAATTCTCTGGGTTCTAAGTGTCTAAAATACCTAGATTCCTTTTCTAATAACATAAACCATTTCCAAACACTCTAACCATCATATTAAACATCCCAACACACTAAAATTACTAATCAATATCCCACATTGTCTTAAAATCTTTGAACTATATCTAGGGTTCATGCAAACCCTTACTAAGAATTTTCAATCACCATATAACTTATAAATTTAGGGTTAGAGGCTTGATTTAACTCTTCAAGATTTTAAATAAACTAATAGGTTCGGTCTAAACCTAAGAAAATAAAAATCAAAGCCCCATTGCCCTAAATGACAAGATTTTTTGTATAATGAGGAAGAAAAGGGAATGTGTAACTCACCCAATGGTGATTCAAACTCCAAATGCCTCTAAAGTAGCCTAAGGATCATGCCCTAACAGACCATAAACTCTTCTCTGTCACTCTCTCGTTATCCCTCTATTTCTCTTTTATTTTCGAGTCAGATTTGCAATCTAATAAGTATAGATTTTGCATGTGTGTCGTGGTGCATTGACATACCTACTACGACACATGGCATAGAAAATTTCACAAAATTTTAAACTCCCTTTCGTGTTATGGCCTGCTCAAACATCAACATAGCCTACTTTTACTGTTTAAGGATTCAAAAACTATATTAGTTTCCCACGAATCTCGTTAAATCAATAATTTATCTAAATTGACCAATTTACCCCTTGAAAACACTAATAATTACAAATGAAAACTTAGGATGTTACAATAGCGACATGGATTAAGTGTGTGTTTGATTTTTCATTTATTAAAAAATATTTATTAAAATTTTATTTGACAAAACTTACTTCAATGACAGTCAGTTGTTGTAACCAAATTTATATTTAGATTTTTTTAAAAGTCAGTTTGATAAACTAAAAGCTGTTTGGATTAATAATAATTTGTATTTTTCAAATATGCTTTTGAATATACAATGACCAAAAAGAAAATTAATTTATGATGATTTATAATTTTGGTTATATGAATATAATATATTAGAAATGTTTAAAAAATATGAAAAAGATTAAAATAATATAAAATTTAATATGTCAAATAATAAGAATAAAAACCATGAAGTTTAAAATGTCAGAAAAAATTAAATAATAAATAGCTCAACATTCATTATCGGACAAAGGAGCATTGATGGTGAGAGGGACTAATTGGGATTATTTGAGCAAGTCACGCAAGCATTATCTTCTTGCCAATTGATTTTGAGTAGCTTTATCAGGATCAAAAGTGAATTGTGCAAAAGCTTTTAATTCTGTGAATGGTGCCAATTCTAATTTTAATTTACCAGCTACTTGTTTCATGGCTTTAATTTGAGCTGTAGATCCTACTCTAGAGATGGCAATACCCACATTAATTGCAAGTTTGATTCTAGCTGCTTTTTAAATGTAAATGGGGAGTTGGGACCATTAATGACTTGTATCTAATTTTATATTTGACCATAATACCCTTCATTATTTTGTCATCTCCAGCGTGCAAGCCGAGCCTCATCTTCACTTCCATCTCTACTCCTCCCCCTCTCTCGCATCTCTATCTCTCTTCCATCATTTGATCACAGATCGGACTTCACTTTGTCCATTTCTTCCTTTAGATTCTTCTTCTTCTTCTTCTGTTGACCTCTTCAATGTGTGCTATTCTAAAGAAATCGATCGAAGTTCACTCACATAAGAGTCATTTGTTACTACACAAGAGGATAGGGTTACAAAAATGAAGTCAATTCTTTATTTAATGGAGAGTGCAATAAGACCGATTGATTAAACTGTTTTAGATATTACAATGTAACTTTACCAAATTGAGGAGATTGCAAGTGATGAGTCACTTCTTGGAAATTATGTTATAGCCTTGTTAGATAGTGTAATGGTCTCCGTCATTAACCTTAATTAACTATACTAATTAATGACCCTTAACCTTAAGGATCAACCATGGCTTTAAAGTTTAATGATATTAATAAATATCAACCTCAAAATTAGGATCCCAAAAATATTTAAAAAGATAAAAATAATTTTTTTAGAAATCAGAGTACTTGAAATCATGCAAAAACATGGAATATACTACTTAGTATTGAGAAATCACTAAAGGTAGAATAGTTTATTCTAGAAAATAGTACCAATTTGCCGCAACTAAAAGCACCTTTGCCATGGCCAATCACAAATTTACACACTTGTCGTGGCATATGGCATACCTGCCATGATGTAGACTTAACTTTGAAGAACATAATTAATCACTTGAACCTCCAATTAAGGTGATCTAAGTGTCCCCATGCAAATAATTCAAATATTTAACTACTGACACCATTTATAACTGAATACAATACCAAATGAGGATCTTGAAATGCTAAGTGCTAATATGAGCATTTAAGCCCCTTAAACATATACAAATGTCTCCTCTCTAATATGAAGCTAAAGTCTCACCTTTAAATCATGCATAAAATACTCAAATCATGCATTTGATCTATAAGATGGAATCAAATTATCATCATACCACACTT